CACAATTAACATATTCTATTAAAAATACACCGCAATGCACAACATATCATTTTTTGCCTCATCCTAGAATCCATCACACTACAATCTGCAGAAACATACCATGTTAGTGTAATGTGTTATGAGATGAACCACACCTTTTCCAACCACAAAACAGTCAATGGCTAATCGAACCTAACCACGAAATTACCTGGGATTAATTGTGTCTCTACACAGTCCCACCCATCACTTCTCATCTAATCAAGGGACAAAACAAAGTTAGAATCACATGGGTGGAGCAGTCTGCCGCATAATAACAGGTGGAGGTTGTGTGGATCTCTTCAAAGCAACAGTCAGTGGACGTTGTCACAGAGGTTCCTTAAGCTTCAATTCAATCCTCATGATTTATAAAACCAAATAGGCAAATCAATTGATTGGATTATTTAACAATAGAGTGAAGCACCCATGATTTGCTAAATGCCAACACTGTAGAGATAAAAAAAGACAAATGAAACCAGCTAAATCTTGCATTCCCTCTCCACGAATAAGATAATTAAGTGCTTATATCTGTAATAAAGGAGGCTAGAGTTTGGCTAGGAATGTCACTCCAATGAGGTCCGGTGACAGCTGACCCTGACATTATTGTCTTGCTTCCTTCATTTACTTTTTTTGAGAAAATATATAATATTACTCAAATGTGGGTCTCTCTGCTTGACTGCTTCATATGCCTTACATGATTAAGGCCTTGTTTGGGATGTATTTTTTATAGTTCATGTTTTGGTCTTTTTCCATTTGGTTGGGAAATGATCTTTTCATCTTTTTTCATTTCGTCTTCATGTAAAAAAACATGTCTTCAATTAAACAATTTTTGAACTGCCAAGATCATTATGTAACAATTCGTTATGTTTTTTGACTGTCAAATCTTCTGAAAGATCTTTTAAAAAGGACTTGCCTAACGGCACCTAAATCTAAAAATTTATGCTTGACTTACTCCACGTGAGCTTGTATTACCAATGAAAGAAAAATACTAGGAAAGGGATGTTCAACAGTCGTGATTTCTTCTATGAATTGAATGTGTTAGAGATGGAGGACTCCCAAATCCCAATTCCCAATAGGATATTTACATGTAAGGTGACTCAGATGTCTAATGACGAAGAAACAGATTTTCGACAACGGCTTTGTTGGTCTCTTAATTGATTTAATAAAAAGGTGGACTTTCCATGAAAATGAAATTTCAGCAAACTTTTGTTAACCATGGATGCTTTTGGGAACAACTTGTGCTCATAAACATCCATCTACAACCTCTGCTTTTAAAGGATTTTCAGAATAAGTTCATAGGACCATGGGGAATCCGAAACAGTAAATTTTATTAAAGGCTTACTTCGAAATAACTAGTGTTTTCACCCACCAATGTTGACTTAGTTGGTCGAACCATTTGAATTGTCTAGGTTTGGTTCTCCTGTCATTTGAGAATTGGTCAAAACCATCTGATTCGGGCAGTTGAACCATTTACTTATTCGACCTGATGACCAGGTCATAAGTTGCACATTAAATATGTATGCAAGCTTGGGATGGCTATAACCTGTAGATATCTTGCCCACTATTTTTATGAATCCCCCCCCCTTGCCTCAAATCACAATTTTTATCATTTTTTATATATTAAAAATTAAAAACTGAATAAAAATATAAAATAATACTTATATTACAAATAAAATATAATTATACATTATTTATTAATAAAATGTATTTTCATATGAATATATATGTATGTATTTAACTATATATAGAATTAATGATATCATGGCACAGTCTGACCTGTTCAACCCTGATGGTCAAGTGATGATCAAACCGGTGATTCCAACCTGGAGGTAAAAACGGTCCAGCCTCTGGTTCGAGTTTTAAAACTGAAAATATAAATTTCTAATTTTCTATGATATCTAAAACACTTTAACCCATCAAGATCTCAGGTGAATGTGTCAAAATAGATTCACCAAAACTTTTGGGTCGAGGAAATTTTCTCACACTATCAAGGACACTTGGGATTCAAATCTGAGTCGGCGAGCTCAATACCTGTAAAGCTGTAGAGTCGATCCATGAAGAATACATTGAAATACGACATCATGATCACATTTTAGGAAAAAAAGAAGAATAAATGAATAATGGAGAAGAAACAACGTTATCAAACGTTAGCGTGAAATTGATAAAAGGTGTTTATAAGGACCTGAGTGGATGATTTGAAGTTGATAAAACAATAAGCACTAGAGAATAAATGAAATTTGTCAGCCTCTATTGTTTTGAGGCAATAGTTTTGAGCTTGGCTCTGGGTAATTCACTAATTCAACTCAACTCCAAAGGTAGTTTGACCAATTCAGATCCTACTTACTCTCCCATCTGCCTTTGGCTACATCTGAGTGCTGACCTTGACCTACTGGCAATATTGGCTACTCAGAATTGGTGGCCCCCGTTAAGCTAGACCTGGGAAAGTAGCCAGCCCTAAAGTCTTGTCCGTTGTTTGGTAAGTTATTTATTTGGGTAAATTTTTTTTGGGAAACATTTACTCGGATAATTGTATTTATCCATGTTCTTTTATTTTTCATGTAAATAAAACAATGATCATTTTAACCATAAAAATTAATTATTAAAAAGGGCATTTTTATCCCATTTAAGTGTTGATAACTTTCCCGGTGGAAAAGTTATTTGCCCACCTAGGAGATGGGTAAGTGATACCCAAGAAAATAATAAACTTTCCTTAATCCCTACATAAATATGAAAAAAGAACATGATGTTCTTGGTCAATGAAAACTAAAATCCCATTGACCAACTTTCCCCCCTCTCAAAATCTGAAAAAAGAACGCCCCTAATAGCCAAAGGCAGCTGGAAGAGTAGGTAGGATCTGAATTGATTAAACTACCTTTTGAGTTGAGTTGAATTAGTAAATTACCCAGCAGAACACAGCCAAGCCCAAAATTACAAACACAGACCCCATTATATTAGCTGATGAGCATAGATAATCGGATAATTATTAAAATCCCTAATTTCTAATCAACTACTCTTCCTACAACTGGCCAAACTAGCCCTTGTCTGATCACTTTCTAAATTAAATTCTAAGTTTTTGACAGATCGATTATTCGACTTGGAGTATGTGAGGAGCCCATTTTGAAAGTCTCCCAGCTGACTTAATTTTGGGAGTCATCCCTAACTGTTTGAGATATTAAGTCCACCGTTATAACCAGCTAGACTCAAAAGGACAAAGGACTCTTCACTCAAAAGTTGGATAAACACCATTTGAATGCTGGGGTTCTAAACACCAAGCCCAAGGTGGGTAAGAGTGAAGAGTGTGCCTGTATAAGAACCAATTAATATAGGGCAGAGCTGGTTCCTTGCCCTATCACAAGACTGTTTTTCTACTAGATAGTAGATACATGGCAAAGAATCTTACAATGCGAATGGAGGAGCCCGAACTTGTTACAAATTAAAACTCTATAGGCATAACATCCAATCGCATGTTGAGAATATATTCGATATGTGTAAAGGTGTAAATCAAGCCGGCACAGCCCAGCACGATGATTCATGGGCCGTGCCAGACTTAGGGTTTTAGGTTTACGGGTTGGGCCGACATGGTATGATCGAGCGGGCTGTGCCGCTTGCATGTCAGCATGTTGAGATATATATATAAATAATAATTATATAATAGTATATAATATATTAATAAAATAAACAATTATATATATCAAAATTCATATAAAATAAAAATTTTAAGATTTTTTTTTCAATTTTTTTTAAATAAATAGCTTTGTCCCAATCCACGGTCCATCCTGACCTAAGGCTCAGTCCACGGACCAACCCAACCTACGGCATGGCATGGCATAGCACAGGTTCGGGCTGTGGGGCATGCAAGGTCAACCCCCCAAAATACCCCAAGGGAGGGAAGCACAGCCCATRGATCGGCATGGTGCCCACACTTTGCGTAGGTCACACGCGGATCGTTCTGTGCTGGCCTGGCCCAGCATGACCCCTTTTACATTGAAGAAATGTTCTCAATGTAAGGCTAGATTTCAATGCTTGCAGATTGTGTATAGTTTTTACTTGCAATAAATTAAATCTCGTTACCTATCCTATTATATTGGCAAAAGCATAGCAGAGTTCATATTGATGATCCACTGGTACGAGAAAAACTTTTTTCCAAGGTTTTTAAAACTGTACCAGACAGGGAACCATTTTGAGGTTCGGATCCTGGGTTGAATGGTCCGACTGTCCAGTCCAAATAGATGATCAGATTTGACAAAAAAAATTAAAAACTTAAAAAAATAAATAAAAAATGGTCAAAAACCATTGTCTTGATCGACGGTTAGACTGCCCAGGTCAGCGGTTCACTGACCAAATCAATGGTTTTTGACTAAAAAGCAGTTTTGGGGTGACTGGTCCTCAGTTTTTCCGGTCTAACCAACCGATCCAGTCCTGTTGTTTTGAAAACACTGCTTTTTCCTATCCACCTTGGACAGGAAGTGTTGGGGTGCACAGCGTGATGTCACAATTGTGGTCTTTTGTAGTTTTGGAACTTTTGGAACTTAGGCCATTTATTAAAACACCCCATATAGTTTTTGTAGGATCATTTACTAAAATACCCCTAAAAAAACTTGGCAATCACTCCATTTGGTCAGTTCTGTTTTCTATTCCAAAAAGGAAAATACATTGTGACAGATGAAGAACCTAGATGTCATTGTTCTCTCTTCTTTTTCATTATGCTAAAACCATTGTGTGGTAGATTTAGAAACTAAGGGTCCGTTTGGTTTACAGCTGGAATCGGAATCGAAATCCTTCGGAATTAAAATCGGAATGGTACATTCCTGGCATCTATTTGGTTAAGTCAGGAATCGGAATCGGATTCCAATTCATGCTGTTTGGTTCAACTAGAAACTGAAAACGGAATCAGCCAAAGTTTCCAATTCTGCCCCTGTTAAAACAACCTCAAAAACATCCACTAATTATATATTTTCAACATATACACACATTGGGAATTCATGTAATTAAACCGGTTCTGTCATAAAGAACTTCCATATGATGACATCTTTAAAATCAAATCATCCTCACTAGCAATTATGATTTATGAATTAAATCTAATAAAACATGAACAAATTCATGGTAGTTCAATACAGTACATAAATATTGCATCAAACAAGAACAAAACTCATTAAAACAAAATTGCCATGCCACTTGAATGATTTTCCATTGGAGAAGTGCATGTTTGCTCTTAGGATGAGGACAGGAGCATAATGGAAGTCACTATCATCAAATAAGCCTTCAATCGAGCCTAATCCCTAAAAGTTTGGCAGTGAGCTCCCATGCAACAATGCAGCAGCATTTGCAGGAAATGCTCTTGCTAACGTGGGACCAATGCCAGTGTAGCATCCTTTAATTCCCTTCATCCTGTATATCTACAGAAACAATCCTGATAAGAATGTGCCATAAGGTGGTTTGAACATCCAGGATTCCAGGGGGAGGAAAAGAACTACATATTACCGAGCTCAGTATGCGAAATGGATTTCTACTAGAAGTTGAATCGGGTGCAGTCTGAATAACAGTCTTTGCCACATCAAAGGGTAGAACCACGGACCAGTACTGTCA